TAAAGCAGAATAAAGAAGTAAATGACAGAGACTATTTCATATAACACCACCAGGGAAGACTTCTCTGAAGAGGCCACACTTACATAAAGATTTAAAAGAAGTATGAAAAGAGGCTATGAGAGAATCTGAAAATACAGGCATAAAAATATGGTCATATCTTAACCTTTGAAATCTGTGGACACATTAGAGATGGCAAAGGAACTTTGGACATGTTATTAAATTAAGGATGAGCTGAAAAAAGTATGTCCTGAGTTTTGCAGGTGAGACCTGATTCCGGGGTAATCCGAGGACCCTTGCATGAGAAGGATGGCACAATCGGACTGAGGTCTAGAGGATGCTGCAATGAAAGGAAGAGGTTGGAGTGTGCAAGGGAAGAACCAGACTCGGAACGCAGGAAAATACTGGGGAAGATGCTCTACCATAGGGTTTCCAAAAGTCACTCAGCACCACTAACACCTCATTTTAGGGCTCTGATTTCCAGAAATGAAAGAAAATACATCTCTGCTGTTTTCATTAATTAAGTTTCTGGTGATTTGTTATGGCAGCAAGAAAAAACAAATATTCTTCCAACCTCAAATATTTGGTTTAACCTTTTTGGATCCTTCTACCCTGTATGTACTGACTCCTTTGTTGACCCTAATCAATCTGAAATATTCGGTGGCTCTATGATGACAATTCCCACAAATACCCCAGCTAAACCTCTCCACTGAATTCTAGAATTATATATCCAATGACCTCTTTAATGCTTGCAATTATGTGTCTAGCACGAATCTCAAGTGTCAAAACTAAATTCTAAATCTTCCAAAATAAATCTTTTCCATCTCAAACAACTGCATTCTAGTTTTTCAGAACAGATATTTGAGTTCATGACTATTCCCTATCTCTGACATCCAATGGTTTTCCAACTTCTACATTCAGATATATTCAGAATACAAGAGCTTTGCACGATATTCTCCATTCTCCAATCTGCCTCAATTGTCACTGGCACACTTTGCCTTGGTTTTAGTTACCACAAGAGTGTTTTACTTCTTCTTTTGCTGTCTGACACCAACTGACAAGGTGACACCATAAAACTCTACAAGAACCACCATGGTTTCCCATCTCACTCACAGCAAAGTCCAAAGGCCTGTAATAGAGCTCTAGGACCCTGCAGACACAGAACCAGGCCCATCCCAACACACATGCTCCCAAGCCCCCTTTACGGCACTTTTCCTCAAGCCTCACAAACTTTACACACTGCTCTGCCCCTAAAAGACCCGGAAAAAGCTTTTGAAAAACTACTTTAATGAATGTATAATAAATCATTCTCATACTTTCTTCTAATATATACATATCATACATCATATTTACTCTAAGATGAGCATTCATATGAAAGTAAATAAATTCTTCCAGCAATCTTAGAAATATGGTACACGGGGTAGCCCAGCAATATTTAGTCTAAAAAACAGAATACATGAACTCAAAATCTGAAGGAATTTATAATGTGTATAATTAATGACCAAATCCTAAAAGTAAATTCCTATATACCAAATTCATTATTTTAAGAAAATACAACTCAAAATGGATCATTCTAATGAATTTCACTTACTAAATCTCACTTTTTTTGGTACTAACATGTTTAATGAACATGAAATGGTATATGAAAAGGGCCTACTATTTTTCACACAAATAAATGCTTAGTAAGATTTTGCTAATATTTAATTTTGTGTTATGTCATTGAGTTTATTGATACAATTTAGATACACATAATGATCACATTCATCATGTGGAATCTGTACCTGTGCAAAATATATCTTGATTATTTTTTCCCCTTTCCCTTGCCCTCCTGTTATCGTGTCCTCCCATGGCCCCCACTTAAGCCTCATGCAATCATGAATGGGGATGAGTCTGGCGTTTGTGATTTGTCTGATGCTGGGATTGGTGGTGTCAGTGCTACAGTCACCCAGGGGTGGAGCCAGGATACAGTGTAAGGGCAGGGAAGAAGGCGTGGCTTTTCTCTCTCACCAGTTTGTGCTTCGCTGTTTGTAGCAGCCATGAAAGGCTGGCACTCAGTTACGCCACCCTGCCTCGGAGCCAGCTGAGTATGGACTGAAATCTCCAAAACCTGTAAGATAAATAAACCTTTCCTTCCCTAATTTTGGGCATCAGGCATTTTGTCTCAGCAGCAAGAGAAAAGTAACCAAGACAACTCCCTTCTACCTCTCTTATTATTATTATTTACAAAAGTTTTGTTTCCATTTTGCCTTTCTTTTCTAGTAAATTTTCTTTTCCCTCCCCACTGAATATTTTCTTTCTATTTCACAATATATCTTATATATTTTGGTCCTTATTTATGTTTTTCCATTTTCTCACACTAGAGAAATGATGTAATGTTTACACATGTAAGGCCAATTTATTTCACTTAAGAGTATGGTCTTCAGGTGCATCCATTGACCTGGAAAAGTCACACACACATCTTCTTTTATCTATTTATTGATGGGTAGACATTTGGACAGTTTCAAGATTTAGGTATTATAAATTGTGCTAGTAAAAACATGGGTGTCCATATATGACTGTAGTATGATGCTTTTAATTCTTTTGGGAAGATACCAGTAAGGGGTATAGCTGGATTAAATGAGACTTCTAGTCCTACTTTTTGAGGAATCTTCACACCGATTTCCAGAGTGGTTGCAACAGTCTGCACTCTGACCAACAGTGGAGAAGGATTCCTTTTTCCCCACAGCCCCTCCAGCATTTGCTATTGGTTGATTTCTTGATAACTGTCATTCTTTCTATAGTGAGATAAATCTCAACAATGTTTTAATTTGCATCTCTCAAACGATCAGTGGTGCTAAACATTTATTCTGTTTGTATTTCTTCATCTGAGAAGTGTCTATCCATCTCAGATGCTCATTTTGGGGTTGGATCTTTAAATTCTCGGGGTTTCTTTTCAGTTCTTTATATATTGTAGGTATTAGTCTTCTGTCTGAGGAACAGCTGGGAAAAATGTTTTTCCCACTTTGTGAATTATCTCTTTACTGTTGATGACTTCTTTTGCTGTGAACAGGCTTTCTAATAAGATGACTTTCAAGTCAGACCTCAGAACTGTGTTGCACAACCCTACCAGTACATTTAGTGTTGGGTGTGTTCATCTTTGCTTCTAAATGCTGGGGTTGGGGGTCAGTGTCTTCAGCCAGCAGTTCTCTCAATGGCCTGCCTACCCTTCTTACCCTTTTTGTCTTGACAATACACTCCCAGTTGCTGACTCAGAACAGCAATAGCTTGAGGCTGCTTCCAGCTCCATAGGATTGGCTCCTCCTGGATCTTGCACAGTCTCCTCTGTTCCCCACCACTGACTCCCTAATAGCCCAAGGCTACTTGTACTGCTGGTTGCAGGGCTTAGTGAGTGCTGACTTCCTGCCCCAAGGCTGCTTGAATCCTGCATCAGCAAGCCACATCTCTCTCTTGCTTGTGCTGGCCTTAAAGCAGAAGGGGTCCTGCTGTTGCACTTACTGCCCTCCCCACTACTGCTGTGGCCCCTAACTTTGTCATTCCTAGAGGATCCAGTTAGCTACTATGGTGTGTGAAAAAAAAAGACCACCGGTGGCTGGTCAGGGAAGGAGCCTCTTCCTGGTTTCACATCCCTGTGTGTACAAGCACGATTTGCTGCCAGGCTGCAGCATTTTCTATTTGGAGGGAGGCAAAGGGGCAAGGTTATTACACCCCAAATCTATCCTATTTGGCTGGAGTCAGCCACATTATTTCAGGCCACCAGGTAAATTTTTTTAAAGTTTCTCAGAATGGTGGCCATGCTCCACACACAGGTGGGAGATCCATAGGCAGCCCTGTGGGCTAGATAATCACTTTGCAAAGTCCTACGTCTGTGCTTTGTGTGATCTCCAAGTTTCTAATTTCAGACTGACTTTGACATCAGGAGGTACATCTTTCCCTTCCGTCCGGTTACCTGTGTTTTTAGTTGATTTTCTCTGAGCAGCTCAACATAGCCCCTCCTCTATTCCGCTATATTGAATGTACCTCTCCAAAGACAGTAAAACAGTAACTGCTGGAGTCAAGATTACTGAGTTATAATTCAATGTATGCAATGTATAAATAACCCTCTGTCCAAATCATACCTATTACAGTCTTCTGATAAAACATCAATATTCATATTATCCTTACCCTGTAATCCTAAGTCTATCTCAAATTATTTGCTGATTGCCTAACATCACCATAGCACAGAGCAGATTGCTCTAATCTACTACATTTAGAAGTTTCCTGACAAGCCCAATACATGCATGACATTTAATAGCTGTCTACTCAAATATGTAAATATATAGTAATAAAATTATGTAAGTCCAGAAGCATTCCCAAACAGAAGAAGAAAATCCAAAAATATGATAGTAACATCAAAAAATGTTTAACAACTTTAAGAAATTACTTATCTTTAATTACAGTTTTAGCTAAAATGTCTAGGTAGTGATGCAAAACATTTATCATAGTAAAACTGAGACTACTGTGCTTAGGAAGACAGGTTTCCAAGACAGGCCATGGGTTAGCACTTGATAGTTAATGGATGGGAATGGTTCACTATGCCTGGACTGTCTGCATGCATAGCACTGTTTATGCTGAACATCTGCTTTCCTTCAGAGAATAGAATGTTTGTACATGCTAGCCAGAGGGTATCTATGCAACCAACCCCAATAAACACCTGTGCACTAAGTCTCTAAACGGTGTCCTTGGGAGAAACACTGCACACATGTTGCTGCATTTTCTCTGGATTGATCATGCCTTGCGTCCTGTTAGGGGAGGAAGAAAGGATAAGGAAGCCCCCAGATGAATTCCTGCAGACTGTCCATATCTCTCTTCTGATCAAGATGCATATCCTTATGACTTCATGGCAATAAATCTTAGCCTATGAGTACAACTATACACCATGTGTTTTCGTAGAAATTCTCTAAATGTGTACATGGTTCAGGAAATACGACATAATACCACCTTCTTTAAAAACTCAAGATTCTTACCCGCTGATAGGCTTCATAGATCACATCAAATAGAAATGCCTGTGGCATTTCACTTGCTCTGTATCTGGCACGTTCTAACGAGTGGTCTAAGCAACCTTCAGTAGAGGGACTGATGACCGTAGATACGAGAGGTCGAACTGCTCCCGCAGCCTGAAGAAACAAAAAAAGAAAAACAGGCAAATAACATACTTATTTCAACTACAGAGCATTTTTAAAGAAAAACTACAAATTTTGTAACCTCACTTTCAATAATAAATGTCATGTATATCTTCAACCACTTATCTCAAAATAGTATCTGAACAAAGTTTGCTTAGTTCACAACTCAAAGTATTATCTCAGACCAAGGAGTAATTTAAATGTTGTCCTTCCATACTCTACAAAGTAAAAATTGTGACTCTCATAACAGATTCAAAATCCTTTTCCTCACAAGTTACTCACACCAAATACCATCAAAGGATACTGTTACGGCTTAAATGTGAAGTATTCCTCTAAGACTCACACTGAGGGCTTGATCTCTGATGTGGTCATAGTCATCCTACAGAAGAGGTTGGATCATGAGGGCACTGACCTCATCAATGAATTAGTACACTGATGAGTTCAGAGCTTACTGGTCTGTTGGGAGGCTGGGTCAGTTGAAGGAGGTGTGTCACCGAGAGCACACCTTGGAAGGCTGTGCCTTTCCTCTCTCAGGCCATCAACTTTCTGGCTGCCGTGAGGTGGGCATCTTTCTCCTGCCACTTTTTAGTCATGATTCAGCTGCCTTGCCAGAGGCCTAAAACAATGGAGCTGGTCAACCATGAACAGAAACCTCTAGCCAAAATAATCCTTCCCTCCTTTAAATTGTTTTTCTCAGATATTGAGTCACATCAACGAAGAGCCGACTAACACAAACACTAACATGAAAGTGTGTGTTCTCTGAAGATGGGAAGAACAAAGAGGCTGTTTTGAAACAAATGAAATAAGTTACAGACTGATGTTTACTAATTAGTTGTATTTAGAACATATAATTTAAACATTACATAATTTAAGGAAACAAACTCCCCAAGATCTCTAAACAACCTAAATGACAATGAATCTAGGTCTCACTCTAACTCCTTTGAGAAACAGTTCCTTTCAGACATACCCTCCACACAAAGCCTCCCCAGGCAACGTATCCATTGACTTCCATTAATATGATGAAAGCTGTCTCATTAATGATTGCATCTAATAATTATTGCATCTAAATCTATAAAGAGACACCAACGTGTCTGACAATTGTCCCTTTATTTTTAATGGGGTTTCATTTGTAATGCAGCCTTGAATGTTATTACTAGAGAGGAGCCGTGATGAAGTTCCCTTAAAATAAGTTTCTGTTGGCCACACCTTACATTGACTCACAAATGTCCTTTCTTTCATACAACTGTTACATGAGCATCACAGTAAACAAAACCAGCATCCTAAAAGAACAAGTATGCTTTTGAAGAGACCAACATCTGAGCAAGATACAGTCCACATGCTGGTTTATACAAGCTAAGGGACTGGCTGAAAATCAAAGCTGATGTATGAGCCAAGCAGACAGTTTACAAATTGCATCACCATTTCCAGTGCCTCAAGTGGAAATTTGGAGCAGGCATAAATGCAAAAATGAGGCAGCTGGGACGGAGACAAGAAATGGAGTCCAACTAGGTGAAAAGTAGACAAAGAACAAGTCCAGTTGGCCAAAACTGACACCTGGTAGGGGTTAGAAGATAGGAAGGAAGCACGTGTGCTTCTTTTGCACTGCTTTTTAAGGAAAACATGAAATGTCTAATGTAACTACTGGGATAATCCTAAAATTAGACACCAGGCCATGAATTCTTAAAAACTTCACTAAAAGAGAACGTGAGATGTTGAAAATGTCAGTATGAGAAGTTTAGCAGACTTTTATACCAGCAAAACTAGCAAAAGATATTTTTAAAACAACAATTTAAACCCCTGAGAATTTAAGCCCCTAAGAAAAAACACTTAAACAAGAACATCTTCCAAATTTTGGCTTCAAAAAAGTGTGACACTTGAGCCATGACCTTTGTCTTTTATCCCCCACCCAGCTCAGCATGGCAGAAGCCATAGCTGGGGTAGGTACAACTAAAATACAAGGCTCCCTCTCTCCCAAAGGCCCAGAAGAAGAGGCAAGGTGCTATTATTTCACATTCTCTTTAGCAGCATGATACAAAGGTTGACACCCAGGGAGATTTGAACAAGAAGTTCCTAGCTTGTACACATGCTAAGAAAGGAGGAGAGAAGCAAGGAGACAGCCAGTCTTCTGCTGCTCCCATTCAGCACCTTGATCACAACAAACTCATCACTTTTAAAGAGAAACAGGACATTGCGCCCACCCACAGACTAAAGCAGTAATATAAAGATCTGACAGAGAGGAGGAGCAATGGTCTCAGTGATCTATGAAGCTCTGCAAAAGAGCTCAGTGTACTTGAGACAGGATAGAGGGAAAATTCAACCCTAAAGGCGTTCATTTAAAGGGTAGATCATATGGTAACCAATTACCATAAGTGGTATCTATATGAAAATAAAAAAGCTCACTTACAGAGCATCTAGCTTACCAGAAAAGACAAAGAAAAATACAGTCAACAAGAACACTTCTAGTGTCAGGGCCAGTCTCAAATACTGACCTCAAAACTACCCCAACAAAGGGGCCAGAGTTTAACTGGATGACATTATACAGTGATTATGCCTCAGGCGTCATCAAAAATGTATATAAAGTTGAGCAACTGCAGGCAATGAAAGGAGTTTAACAGTGAGGCTGGTACCAACAGGGCCAGACAGCATGAGAGGTCAGGGCAAGAGCCCTGCCAAACCCGCTGTCATTCCAATGTGACTATGTAGGTGTCCAAGTTCCTGCTCTCTGAAAAGTAACAAATAAATAAAAAACATTCAACTAAAATAGGCTGGCCAAGTTATAAACAAGTAAGCAACCAAGTATAAGTGTTTAAAAGGGAGGAGTTATAGAATCAGTACCTGGACATCAAAAATATTTTTCTAAAATACCCCATTTTTAACAACAACAAAAAAATTGCATCTAAGGAGAAAAGTATGGTCCATACACAGGAGACAGGGAGAACTGGAAACAAGATATAGAAACTGCCTGTGCAAAGGCCAACACGTCAAATTTAGCAGATAAAGACTTCAAATTAGCTGTTATCAAAACATTCAAGAACTAAAGAAAATCATACTTGAAGTAAAGAAAGATATGACAATATCAATACGATCTCACTATTGAAATTTTAAAACAGTAAAATGTTTAAAGAACTTCAATAACTGAACACTTTTCTAGAGTAGTTCAATAATAGCCTTGAACTAGAAAAGAATCAATGAATTATATCTGAGTCACCCTTTTCTCACTTGACAGAACACTCAACACCCACAATTTAAGGAGGAGGGTTTATTTTGACTCATAGTTTGGGGAAGATTCAGTCCATCATCAGCTAAGTGCAGGAAGGACACAGGGGAGGGCTTTGGCAGAGAAAAGCTGTACAATCCATGGCAGCTGGGAAGGAGCAAGAGAAAAGAGTAACTAGGGAGGGTCACAGCCCCGGTGACCGCCTCTTCCCGAAAGACCTTCACTCCGCACAGCACATTCAGCTTCGGACTCTCCAGTACCTTATCAATGAATGTAGCACCCGCAGGAGCCAATCACCTTCCAAAAGCCAAACCCCGAACACGGGAGCCTTCTGGGAGACATTCTAGATCTAAACCACAGTAAACGGAAACCTGCATCAATAGAGATCATGCAATCCAAAGAATAGAGTCAAAAAGAAAAGTGCACAGATTCCAAAGAACACAGGATACCAACAGCACACCAGTTTTGTATTGGAAGCATCAAAAGAAAAGGAGAAAGGGCAAGAGCCATAAAACATTTTAATTAGGAGAGAAAATTTCCCAGAAAAATATGGAAAATCCTGCATTTCAAGGAGCACAATAAACTCCAAGTAAAGTAAACACAAAGAAATTCATAACTAGACACATTTAGTAAAACAGTGAAAGCCAAAAGCAAACAAAAGTCATTTTATTGCTTTCAAAATGTATCATCAACAAATTACTGATAAAGATTAACAACTGACTTCCCAACAGAAATATTGAAAAGTATAAAGCATTAGGATGACATTTTATTTTAGCGGTGAATATTAAAGATTTCAATATCCTCAAAACTAAAATCTCAAAAGTTCATAGAAAGTGAACAAAATGTTTCGCTAGAAAATTCATCTTACAAGAAAACATAAAATGTTTTGCAAACTAAAAGAAATTAAACCCAAATGGCAATTCTGGGCCACAAAAAGCAAAGCACACCATTAAAACGAATGTATAATTTTAGAAGATTGTAAATGCATTATTTCTCCCTTCTTATGCAGTATTAACTAATTCAATTAGCAACTGAATGAAACAATATATACGTATATGATCAGCCTATCATATACTAGATTGTAACATATTTAACAAAAAAAGCACAAAATAAGTAAGAGAAGAAGACAATGTTTGGTAACAAATACGTAACAGTAAGTAAACTAATGGCAAACAAAAAGCTAGCTACAAACAAATACACTCATTCACTTTTTTCATCCACAAAGGATGATAGAAACTAATAATGATAGTCTGTAATTTAGACTGGAGTTTCTAACACAGGTGTATATAACTGCATAATAACATAAAAAAGTAAAAGAAATCTCCATTGATAATAGTAATGCCCCTATAACTCACTGAATTAGACAGCCAAATTCTAATTCATGTTAACATGTATAATATGGGTTCTACAGCAACACAAAAACATGTAAGTCAAAAATTTAAGAACATAATTAAAAGAATTAAAGTGTTTCAATAGAAATATCCACTTATTCATCAAACAGAATGGTTTGTACTGTCATTGTTTGATTGTCCACTTTTTATGTTTTGATTTTTGTGACTTGAACAACTACTTCTAATATAACAATATGTAATTTATCAACTAGTGATTTCTTACTTTCTTTTTGAAATTCAGTACTATTTCTATCCTTTTTTTCTGTTTTGCTTTTTTTCTCTAAATAAAAAAAAGAAAAAGAAAATATCCATTTAATGCAAAAAAAATAGTAAAGACATATGGCACACACACACACAAACTTATAGACAAAAAATTCAAGTACTTG